GTCTGGCGGGTGGCACCTCCCAGCAATCCCTTCTTGGTGACTGGCAACCTGCAGCTCAGCCAGCGACACTCTTTCTGGAAGGCTGCTGCTTCTTCCTCTCCAGCGGCCAGCTGGATGCAGAGAGAGGGTGTGAGGGACAATGGGTGGTCCAGGCCACACCCTGCTCAGAGGGGCTGCCAAGAGGCCCAGCAGTTCTGTGCGGCCCAGTATAGCTACCTGGTCAGTCCTGGCTGATGGGGCAGTGGGGGTGACGGGGGGCATAAGGCTGGGCCTTCTCTGACAAAGCTAACTCAGGGTTCACTTTACCCGGGAGCTCTGGAAAACTCAGGTCCTTACATGGACCTCCATGCAAGCTGGACTAGGAGCTTTCGGTTTTGGAGAGATCTGGACAGAAGCTGAGGGTGAGTAGATGGAGGGACAGTGAGAGGCTGGGAGTGCTGAATGGCAGTGGAGTCCCCAAGAAGCACTGGGGGAGTGGCAGTGAAGGAATTCGGGTGCTAGGTTGGCCGTGGTGGGCCCAGCATGCAGACCGCAGCTGCAGGTGGGGACTCAGTGGGGCGACCCCACAAGGAGCCATCCACTGACATCAGTCCTAGGGCTGGGGACAGGTAGAAACCACAGCACCCTTCTGTTCCTAGGGCACGGTCTCCTCTTAGCGACCCTGGCTTCCACCTCCAAGGGCCACTTCTCCTGTGGCTTGGAACATAAATCTGGGGCACTTGTCGGGGGGAGGTGGGGCAAGTCAGGCCGAGAAAAGTTCATGAGGCAGGCTCAAGTTTATCCACAAAGGCCCAGGGAGGCTGGCGTCTGACCCACTTTGAGGGGAACGTGGAGACAGTGTGGTGGCTGCTCTGAATACACAAGCAGAGAGGAGGGAGCCCTGCGGTCCTAGACAGCCAGACCCAGGGAGGCGGCGCTCCGGAGCAGCCTTTATTAGAAAGAATTGTTTTTTTAATAACGCCAGTCAAGGCGCCCCGAGCTCAGCCAGCTGTTCAGGTCCTTGTGTGGGAGGTGTTTGCAGGCATTTATGAGGGTGAGTAGGGAGGGTCAGGGATTGAATGCAAACGGGATGGAAGGAATAGGCTGCTGTGGCCCCTTCCAGCTAAGACCCCGCCTGCCCCCAGGTACTCCAGGTGGTGGCAGCCATGGTCCCCGCTTTGCCACTCAAGGCTCTGGGCTGTAAGCATGAAGGCCAGCTTAAGCATGAGGTCTCAGCCACGCTGCTCCCTAGTGCCCCGTCTGCTGACTGTGGATCGCGTTGGCACTACCACCCCATGGGGCTGGTCCTGTCCTTGACCTCACAGCCCCCTCAGGGGAGGCTCACTTGGAGGCCACTCTCAGGATGACAAGGAGGTTGATGATGCCCCTCGCTGTTCCTATCTGAACGCTGGCTGGGTGCTGGGTGAATAAATGCATCTCCCACAGCCCCAGTGAGGCAAGTCCTCATTACTGTGGCACAGACAGGCAGCCTGATGGGGGCAGGTCTGGAGGCTCCCTACTCAGAGGGAGTAGCCACTGACCCACACAGGAGGGAACCAGGGGAGGCAGTGTGGTGTGACACCTGCTAGGTGTGACAGGTGGCACAAACCAGCTGCCAGAACCAAGACTGTGCTCAGGAGCAGCAGCCCACAGGGGAGCTGAACAGACAACAGGGGCCTGGCCAGGAGCTCCGCTGAGGTCACAACCACCACCTCGCCTGTTGGGATGGCCAACCCAACACGGCCCTTCAGGCATGGTGACTGCACCTGCAGTCCGGGCACCAGGAACTGCCCAGCCTGGTCTCTCCAGAACTCTTCTGAGGAGCATTAGAAACTGTTACTGACCCCTGTCTTACACATCATAACGTTCCCTGCACAGGAGCTCTTTGCAATGGCAACTGTTTAACCCTTTAAATCTCACCCGGGCAGCAGGAGGGGGGTCTTGGGGCTAAGGAGCTCGAGGAGGAGCCGATGTGAAGGCTCCTGGCACTGCCTGGGGCCTGCACTCTCCCCCGGCCTTGCTTCAACAGATGGCAGAACAAATTCCTAATTAAGCACGAGAAAGTTTCCGGCTCAGCACATTTATTTGTGATTTTCCGGCCCCTTTGGTGCTCATTCTCCTGCTCTGACTTCTTGGAACCCAGGCCAGCTTCTTGCCATCCTGGAACGGCCAGCAGGGCAGGGGGAGGAACAGCAGGGAGGGCCACACAGCTGCCTTGAATTCAGAGCAAAATGAAGAGGGAGATTGTTGCAAACTGGTAACTTGGCAGGGAGCTGAGACAAGGAGCGGGGGAGGGGGTGTCTCTGAGATCACTGCTTTTAGGGTATTCTAGAAAAGTGCCTGGGGCAAGCTTGGTGTGTAGGAGAAACATCCCTGGGGGTCCAGCCCTCCATTTAGGGCTCCGGTCCTCCCCCTGAGGCCAGCATGGGGACCAGAAAGGCGCCTGCACTAGGTGGAAGAAAAGCATGAGCAAGGCTCCCCCCACGGCTGAGATGGCAGGTGTCCAGGGGGAGGGGTGGGGGGGGTTTGCTTTAGAGATGCCGGCGTCCAGCACTGTTGCCCGCGGCAGTGCCTCAGCAAAGAGCTGCCGAGAGCCTCTGACGGCTCTTCATCTCGAGTCAAGGGCAGTGAGGAAGCGAACGCCAAGGACCACACACAGCATCTCTCCTCCCCCTGCAAGGCCTCATCGCCTCGGCTTGCAGCACTGCTGGGCAGCATCTAGGTCGCCAGGAGCCACAGGGCACCCGGGGATGGAGACAGGATGGGGCCTTGCTGGGAGGTAGGGGGACTACAGGTGATGGCCCCACTGTAGCACCAGGGGCTAGTGACAGCACCTGTTGCCCTGTAGCAGGAGGACTCTGATGAGGAGGGTGGGCAGCAAGACTCAGGTGAGGCTGGGCAGGCCCTGCTGCCCAGGAAACAGCTAGTGACGATTTTCCAAAGCAAGCAACCAAGCAACCTGGTTTGGTCCTAACCATAACACAGCCCTAGCCAGAGCCCAAGTCCTAACCCAGACTCCAACCCTAAACACAGCCTTGCTCCTAGCCCTAACCCTAGCTCTAGTCACAGTCCTTGCCAAACCCTCGCCCTAACAGGCTGCTGGCAAGCTGCTGTTCAGGTGTCCCGCGGCCACAAGGAGGCTCCTGCCTTGCCCTGAGCCTGGCATCTGTGTGGGCTTTTTACTGACCACCTGTTGCCTTCTTGCCCTTTTATAGAACGTGCTGCTCCCCAAATGCAGAGAGGAAATACACAGCATACAATCACAGGCAGGCAGGTGTGCAGGGACCACTGTCACCACCCAGTGCCTGGTCCTCCTGGGCTCACTGCCAGCACACCTGTTACAGCATGAATGAGTCCTCCTCCTCTGCCCCGTTGTGTCCCTGTCCTCCTGGGCTGGTGCTCCCCATTGTTGATATGGCACATCACAGATGGCCACTTGGGAGCCGGGGGCCGGGGCTCGCCAGGCTACAGGGGCCAGAAGGACACCTCCTTTGGGGCCTCCCAAATGCCCCACACCCAGCTCCATCCTGTTTTCGTCTCCTTGCGGGAACAGGCCGCAAGTGGGAAGAGGGCAGCTGGTGAGTGTGGCTTAAGATAGGGAAGAAGTCCCAGCTCCAACACAGCTATCCTGAGGCCCTGGGCTGAGGGCGGCTCTGCTCCCCATACCAGGGGCTCCCTGACCACCACGGTCCCTTCCAGATAGACACAAGAAGCTCCTTATGCCAAGATCTGTAACCTATGGGATTGGGGATGCCAGAATTCCTTCAAATTGCTGGGATTAGACACCACCCTGGGTGCACCCTGTATCACTTGGAGCCAGGTGCATCTTAGGAGCTTGATGAGGGAGAAACAGGGAAACACCCAGTATTATAGGGTGACCAAAAGCTGGAAAAGGGTCCGGCGTGATGGCGTAGTGGTTAAGGTCCTCGCCTTGCACGCATCAGGATCCCATTTGGTCGCCGGTTCTAATTCCGGGGGCCCTGCTTCCCATCCAGCTCCCTGCTTGTGGCCTGGGACAGCAGTTGAGGATGGCCCAAAGCCTTGGGACCCTGTACCCACATGGGAGACCCAGAAGAGCTCCTAGCTCCTGGCTCCTGGATTCGGATTGGCTCAGCTCCAGCAGTTGTGGTCACTTGGGGAGTGAATCATTGGACGGAAGATCTTCCTCTGTCTCTCCTCCTCTGTGTATCTGCTTTTCCAAGAAAAAAAATCTTAAAAAAAAAAAAAAAGCTGGAAAAACAAAAAAAAAAAACATGGGGGCTGGGGAAGGCATGATGGAGAAGCAGCCCCAGTCCTGGCACTTTTGCAGGCTGGATGAGGTGGGTGAGGTGGGGCAGGTGGGCCGCTCAGGAAGCCCCTGGGCTCTGGAGGCACTGCTCATCCCAGGCTCCTTAGCCAAAGCAGCAACAGCCTTCCCTGCCCTCAGACGGGTGATGCCAGCATCCACCTGACACCCAGAACATGCACATTGGCCCATGGGGTGGCAGGGAGCCCTCACCATCCCAACCACCACAGCCTTAGTCCAGCTGGCCCTGTCCCTGCGGCGGCTGGCGGCGGGCAGTACGGCTGGAGAAAGCAAGCTCCCGAATGCCCATTTGGTTTAATGGAAAGACTTCCAGACTCCAACAGGCTTGCCTGGCTGGGTCAGGACAGAAACCATGTGGGTAGGGTATCTTTCATGCTCTGATGGCTGGGGATGGGGAGGGAAAGAATGGCTGTCCCCATGGGCCACCTGGATTTTATAGCTGTATCACAAGGCACACCCACAGAACCAGAATGCTGCCACTCCCATGCCCTCCAGAGCACTGCCCAACCCAGGCCTGTGGGTCAGCAGGGATGCCACTGTGGAAAAGTAAGCACTTTTTTAAGGGGGGCAGTGAGTTTGCCCACCTCCAGGCAGAGTCCCTACTGGAGCGGTCAGAGCATGGAGCCTGAGCCCGGGGAAGCGGTCACCAGGCTGGGAGCCGCCCTGGGCCTCCCGGGGAGGGTGCGGGCAGGCAGGGGTCACGCAGCTCACTCACCGAGCCACCGCATCAGGGAGGTGAGGATCTGCAGGTACTTGGTCTTCTGGACGTCAAAGAAGGTGAAAGGTCCGAGGAAGAGCGTGAAGGCAGCCTGGCGATGAAAACCAGAGTGAGGAGAGACGGCTTGTGGCTGGGAGGAAATCTCAGCTCATGCAGCCTCAGCCGATAGCCAAGGCCCGGCCCCAACTCAAGTGTGCACCGGCACTCCGGGGGCCATGTGGGTGCTCAGCACCCTGTCTCCCCACCATGACTCCCGCTCCTTGACTGCTGTGCAAGGCCAGGCAGCAGCCGAGTGGGTGGTACCTGCTCCATTCTGTTCTCTTCAGCGGGACCTGACCAGGAGCCTGGGCCCAGCACTGGGCTGGCTGCGAGCATGCGTGAGGTGCAAATGTACAGCAAGGATGGAATGACAGCAGCAGGTGAAGGCAACTCTGACCCTCGCGGTTTCCCAGGAAGTGAGGGACAATGCAGGAGCTCCATCAAGGCAGCACAGGACGCCGCTCCCCTAGGGCGCCGTCTCCCCCTGCCCCAGTCACGCTTGTGGCTTCAAGAAGTGGGGAACCAGAGCCAACAATCTCCAGGCCAAACCAGAGAAACAGCTGGCACTTGGGAGAGCGCAGCCACCTCTGGGGAAATCGGGAGTGGGGGGACTGGGGGTAGGGGTGGGAGCCCATCGCAGCTGCGGGTGCTGTGGCTGGGGCCCCTCTGTCCTCAACCTTGGAGAAGAGGGCAAGTGGGTGTCCACTGTGAACCTACATTGTCACATCTGATCTCAGGAGACAGGTCTGGGAGAGCTGAGCCCTAATTGCTGAGAGGGGTTGGGGAGGGGGTGGGCAGGGGAAAAAGGGGGGCTGCTCGGGGTGCAGAGGAATGAGAAGCCGCCGGCTGGAGGTAAGATGATGGCACCGTTTCCAATCTGCCACTCGGAAGCTGCACGGAGGATTGGACCTTATTAACATTTACGCTGTACCATTTCATCAAGTTAATGCTAATGACGCCCGCCAGAGACAGGCGAGCGGCAGCGACGTGGGGAGCGGGCCAGGCCTTGCGACCTGGGTGAGTCCGTCACAGCTGCCCGGCCTGCCGCCTGTCACAGGCGGGTAAGCAGCAGCTCCAAGGAGGGGGCTGAACCTGCGTCGCCCGCGCCCCCGCCCCATCCGCAATGACCTCTTATCCAAGTCCATTATCGCTGTGAGAAGGAGTGACAGGAGGACTTGGGGCTGCTGAGAGAAAAGGCTCTAATTAGCTGGGGAGGGTGGTGGCGTCTGGCAGTCACGGGGCTCGGAGGTTCCAGAAAGCCTCCGAACTCGCCCTGCCTCTGCCCTGAAGGATGCAGCTTCCCTGGGTTGAGGGGGACCCTCTTGGCAGAGGCAAAGGCAGTGAAGAATGAGGCTGTGGGCACCACATAGCACGCACAAGTGTCACTCGCAGGATAGTCACTTGGGAAAATTGCCACTGCAGGGAGATTCCTCAGGCACCACACATGAGCCTCCTTCTGGAAGGTTGGACAGGTCTGTAGCATGAATAAAGGCAAAGCCGCCTGCCACAGTTGTTTCCCAAACACGATGTCCCACAGGACCCTGGGTGTGCCTGCAAGCTTTGGGGGCAGGGGGCTCACCTCCAACCTGCCACAGCTCCAGCTGTGAGTGCTGGAGACCTTCCTGAGGGCTGCTTTCATGGCAGGTCAGAGTATACCTTAGGAGCCTAAAGGGTGGTTTCTAGAAGGTTCCATTACTTAAAAAAACAAGGGGACAGCAGAACTGTCCCCAAGGATAGAGAGTTCTGCTGCTGTAGAGGTCCTGTCCCCCTGGGGAACCCTGGCTAGGCACCAAGCTCATATCCTCAGGCCTTGTCAACCCTTGGCGGGGGGTGGGATCCTGGCTCTCCCACCATGGGGAGACAGTAAGGAGTATACGTGAGGTTGGGGTCAATATTGTCAGTGGGTTAATACCAGCAGTAGCATCCCATGCCAGAGTTCGTTCCAGTCCTAGTTCCCCCACTCCTATCCAGCTCCCTGCTGATACACCTGGGACAGCATCAATAGATGACCCAGGTCCTTATACCCACGAGGAGGCCAGAATGGAGTTTTGGGCTCCTGGCTTTGGTCCAGTCTTGACTATCACGGCTCTGACACACACACACACTACAGCTGAGCTTCCAGGTAAGTGGTACGGACTATCAATCTGCAGCCCTCCAACAAGGGTCCACATCAGCCTAGGAGCTTTGTACTCCTTCTTGGGGACAGCAGGCGTGTCCTAATGGTGGGGACTGGCAGCAAAAGAGTCTTGTGTGATTTGGCCCACAGCTGGATGGTGGCTGGCATGGCAGGCGGAGGCACAGATGGGCAAACAGGAGCCCTCGCATGGGGCCATGCTCTCATGCATCAGAGAATGAAGATGCAGAGGAAGGTGCAGACCTGGAGCTGGAGCTAATTAACTAACAGGTGTCCTCTATAAATGAGCAGGAGCAGGGTGGGAGGAAGGGAGCTGGCAGGGGCAGGGGCCCAGGACTCTGGTCACAGGCATGCTGGCCAAGAGCTGACCTGCCCTCTCTGAGCTCCCTGTCCAGCCCAGCTGTAATTTAACTGGCTCCCAGCTCAGTCTCTGCTCAAGGATTCTCAGTGCATAAGTCTGTACTAAAGGAGGCAGGGACACCAGCTGCCACAAATGTGCTTCTGTAACTGCTCCCCTCCCAGGCCCCGGGTGAGTAGTTCGGATTCCTACTGAGCTCCGGCAGCTGCTCACTGGGGCTCAGGCCAAGACAGACCCGGGACAGGGAAATCGGGGTGCTTATGCTCCTCCTTTTGGGTCAGTGGCTTTAGTAGCTGCACACCAGAGGCCCAGAACGGCTCTGCCAGAGCCTTCCTGGGGACCCGGCAGCTCATGTCCCCAGGGCTCTTTCAGAACATCCCAAAGTCTCCAGCTCTGTGCGGTGACCTGTGCTGCATATCCTCTGTGCGAAGCTTTGCGGCCCAGCTGAGAACGTTCCTACCCTGGGATCCTTGGTCGATGCGTGGGCTGGCAAGTGCACCTGCCTGGGGCCACTGTGCTTTGCTGGGGGGACAGAAACTGTTCCTCAAAAAGCTGTGAAATCCACCTGCTCTGATTTGGGAGGAGCAAATCCAAACAAAACAGTAAGGAGAAGGATCCTTCAGGGAGAAGGATCCACGCCCCATGAAGGGGAGTGCAGATCTGGGATGGGCTGGGCGCTTGGCTCCCTCCATTGGTAGCACCTCTTGGGACCCCGCCAAGGGAGGGTAGGAGTCTTGGTGGGCTGTGACCACTCTGCCCCTGCCAGGCCTCCAGGTCAAGCGAGGATCCCAGAGGTCTCCCAAGGAAAGGCAAGTCCCATGCTGCTATTTTGAATATGGTGGATTCACAGCTCCCCTAGAGTCACAGATGGGGCCTTCCCCCAGTTCTCCAACAAAGCCCAAGACCCCAGACCCTGTTCATCATCAGCTCTTCTGCTGGGCAGGGGCGACGTGGACTGTAGCTGCTGGCCATAACCTGAGCTGCGATGACATTCAATGGCACCCACAGCTTTTGGGGAAGGGTACAGGGGGTGGAGGAGGAAAGCCTGAAGGGCTGGAGTGACCACAGCACAAACGTGCCAAGGGACTCCGCTCCTTCCCAGCACGCATCAGAAACAAGCCCTGTGACAAGGAGCAACCCCAGTCACCTGTGCCCCAGATGGCCGTGGGAAAGTACACTGAAGATGGCACAGTGGCCAGCTGTTCACCATCTCACTGGGGCGCGGTCCCCGCCCAGGTCCGCCTCCAGACCCAGAGCTGCACAAAGGGGCAGTGTCCGTTGGGCCAAGGATGCCAGCAGTGGCAGGGGCGGGTTGGGGCGATGCTGACCTGGTGCTCCCCGACTCCCAGAGCCCAGCAGAGGTGCTGATCACCAGGAAGAGGAGCCCAGGGAGCCCACCTGGCCCCCAGGGTGCTCAGCCTCGACAGAGGCAGCTCCCAGAGAGCCTGCTCCCTGACCACCCTCTTGAAACAAGAGGCCTCTGTCTGGTTTTGGCTCCCTGCAGTGGGGAGACGGAATCACCCAGTGCCAAGTTCCAGGCATATTTCCCCTCCTCACTTTACCTGCCGCCTTCCGGATGCCAGCACACACCCCGGGGCCTTCTTGCTTCAGGTCTGGGAGGTGACTCGGCTTTCTCTGTTGGTTATCAAGGTTGACAAAGGCACCATGCAGAAGGCGGCAAGGCTCTCCCAGACACACCAGGACCCAGGGGCTGCCTAGGGAGACCTTGGGTTTGGTGGAGACGGGCACTGGTGGATGGCACAGCCGAGTTCTCTGGTCTGATCCTTTACCAAGAGACACAGAAAGGGACCCTGAGGCCACAGGGCTGTGGCCAGTGTGGGACACCAGGGTCGAGAGTTAATTGGGGTTAATGGCAGCTCAGCAGGAGCCCCTTCCTGAACTGAGCAGAACTTTCACTGCGTCCTTGAAGTACAGTGCACAGCACTCAAGGATGCTATTTTTACTTCTCAAGTAGCCGTGAACGCTCTGGCATGGGAATTTATTTTCCCAACTCGAGTTATGGCATCTGGGAACTCATCCATGGGAGATGAGTCCCAGGGCAGTTTGGGGTAATGGAGGCAGTGGGAGTGGGGGGAGTTCCGGGCTTCGGGTCCCATGGGTAAGGGGGCATCTGCATGCCCTCTGATGTCATCCCTCCTGTGAGACCACTGAGTACCAGCACACACCAGGCCACCGCATCGCACCCAGCCTCTAACCATACCTCGTGGACGCCAGGGCAAGATCTAACGTTACGGCCAAAAGAGTTCTTATCAGATGTGGCTGTCCCTGCCCAAGTTCAACCTTGGCCCAACACTCTTTAGGGGAGCGTAAACACTTCCAGGCCAAACATGAGTCACCAAGCAGAAGGGGCCTGTCAGGGAAGATGGCACGTGCTGGACACACATCAGCAAGGGTAGTGAGCTATCATCTGGGAGGGGAGGCACCGGCCATTCCAAAGAGGCTGTGCTTCGCCAGGACTCTTGGTGAGGAGTTTTTCTGGATCAACCCACCCTGGGGCAGGAGATGAACAGCACAGCAGGTGCTGGCCAGAGGACCCGAG